CACGGCTTGCACCCGCCGGTGCTTCAGCTCTTCTCTTCCTCCTCCTCGCACTTTGTCTACTTGCGCCGTCTTTTTGCTCCAAACCCCCAAATATGTTGTTCCCTTTTGAAGGTTTTGTGGAAAGGTACCGTTCAAAGGGCGAGCAGCAGCTCTTGGTACCGCGTGCTGGGATTTGGCATGCGAGTGTGTCATCAGTCATTCATTTGTTTTAGACGATCCAGACCTGAAAGATATTGACCCTACGGTATTAAAACATTGCCATGCTGCAGCTGCCATGTGTATTCTGGAGGCAGGAAAGCAGAATGCCGACATATCTGCTATAAGGTACTAATACTTCAAAGCTACCCCATTTTTCTAGCAGTTGTTACTTTAAACTGTACTGCTGAGCTGATGTTAACAGAAAACTCATAAATTCTTTTTCCCTCTAGCACATGTCTAGAAGACTGTAAACTGGATAAAGAGCGAATAGAACAGTTTTGCACCGAATATCAGGTTTTTAAACCAATTTTAACATGTTTATGTTGTCTTTCTCTCATAGGAATTTATTGAGCAATTTTTTATCATCTTTTTTTTTTTTTTTTCTTCCAGAAAAACAAGGATGCATTGGAAATCCTATTGGGAAGGTAGGTCAATTGGTCAGCACAGATATGTAGTTGCAATTACAGCTACTTTGAAACTGTCCTGGAAAACACCTCTGCATGCTTTAGTGGATTAAAGTCATTTAATTGTTCCATTAATATTGTTCCATTAAAAAATTTTTAACAAACTTTAGCAAACAGCTCTTGAAACTTTTCCTCCTCTTTTCATAATTCTACTATTAAGAAAACTTTTTGAACTTTTCAAGAAGTATTACAAGGATGGTGAAAAAGTTCTTTATTGATGTATGGTTTGAGAAAGTGATGTTCTGTTGTAGCATAGGGAGCTTGTAACTGTTGTGTCTTTCAGCATAGGCAGATCTCCTCTACATATAACTGATGTGTCTTGGCGCTTGGAATATCAGATCAAGGTAATTTGAACACATTGAGAGGGGTTTCTTTAGTCTGTTTTGGTGCTGTGACCTGACTTTTCCCTGTGCTCTTTGACTTTAATTTAGAACAATCAACTTCATAAAACTTACCAGCCTTCTTACTTGGTGACCTTAAACGTAGAGGTACTGTACCCCCAGCACCCTCAGAGGAAAAAAAAAGTAATTTCACTGTACTTTTTTTTTAATAAAACAGACATTGTTGTTTGGGTTTTGGTTTTGGTTTTTTTTTCAGAACAGTGATTCAGGATCGCACCCAGATGTTAGTTTTAGTTGCACGATGGAACAGTTACAGGTACTACTTTCCTTCATCATTGTTTCTGTGCTTAGCTCCAGTTGTGGATGTAAATGTTTTTAACAACTTGCCAAGCAAAGTGAAATAATATATATTATTATTAAAAAATATATATATCCAGGTCCGGGAGGGGAGAGGAGAATCTTCTATTAAAATTGTCCAAGTGTAGTTCTCTTGTCTCCTCAAATAAAGTTGCAAAGTAACTGATTTTAGTTGCATGGGGAGTGTTTTACATATGTGCATAAACATCCTGTCTGTTTTCATAACTTGTATATAACTTACAGAAGTTATGAAATGTTATATATAGACATCATTTTTCTGAAACTGATTTCCCGTGCTTTGGAAAAATGATTGAAGAAGCTGGATCAGTGATTTAAATGTGTCATGAGAACTAACTGAAGGCTCTTCAGTGGTGTAAATGACATGTAAGAAATGTCCTGAAACAAACGTTGATCTTTGTTTAGCGATTTAAATGTGTAACTGAACAATGGGGGTATTGTAATGCTTGGAAGTGACCAAACTGTGGAGGTTTGGGAAAAGGGCTTGGGAGGGGGAAGGAAAAGTGAGATATTAAAACTTCAGGTTTACGCCTCTGCTTTTTCAATGCGTGTCTCAAAAGTTCCCCTTGTCTTGCTAATGGGTGTTTTTGGTCAGTTGCTGACCTAGGTAAATCTGAGGTGCTTTGGCTGGAGAATGGTCCTAGTACAAAATTGCACTCAAAGTATTTTCAGTATTTTAGAGATGTCTGTAGTACTTCAAAGCCCAGAGCAGTATCAGCTCAGCCATCCTAAAGAGAAAATCTTTGCGTTGAGAATAGTGATCCATTTTGGTAGATGATATACGTTAAAAGGTGTGTTCCTTCAGTTCCTGCTTTTCTTCCTACATGGTAAAATAGGGAGCTGTTCAATGGCTTGCTGGTGTTGTTCATCAGTTGCAACATTTCTTTGTGATATAAGGTGCTGGTTTCCCTTGCCTCTCTGTGTATATATATATATATACATATATATAAAAAAAACCCCAAACTATATTCCTTTAGCTGACCTTTGAAAAAAATGTATATTCTAAGGCAGTGTTTCATCTCTTAGGATTTAGTTGGAAAACTAAAAGATGCTGCAAAAAGTCTAGAAAGAGCGTCTCAGATGTGACTGAAGGAAGGTGTCAGCCCGCTGAGCTGAAGTGCTCTCATTCCTAGGAGTGTCTGCTAAATGACAAATGTCTTTCATCTCTTGATGCAAACTCTTCCTCTTTTATTTTTTTTTTTTTTAATTAAAGTCCTTGGACGCAAATTAAGTGAAATAACTGGGTTTTATGACCACATTTGGTATTCCTTGCTCGGGTCATTTAACTCGTGTTAAATATTTGCCTACGTGACATGTCTTCAAAGCATTCCTTCCCTTTTATTTTGTAATTTTTTAGAATGGTCACTGGTTATTTTTCTGTGGGATCTAATAAAGTTTATTCGCTCCTGTTCTGCATGCTCTGTGGGTGAATGAGCTGTACCTAACAGTAAGGTGCTAAGCGTTAGACCGGCTCTGTGAGCCCAAAGTCCCGTCCCCTTGTGCCGCTGCCGCGGCGCGTTTGCTCCGTTGCCCATCGCGATTTGTCATTACGCCCCAACCGATCTTGAATCCTCTGCAAGAGCGGCGGCTGGGCCGGCGCGGGAGGCATGAAGGGCTGCGGGAGCCTTCTACGGGGCC